CCCTTTCTGTTAAAGGGTCATTGCAGTAGATATCACTAAATTCTTTTTAAGTATATTCAGCGAAACCTTTAGAAGTTAACAAATGGCTTCAGAAACAATTTCCCCAAAAGATTACAAGAATCTTTTAGATGAGGCAGCATTGACTGTTAAGGGGCTCTTGAAAGAATACCCAGAATTGAGCCAACCTCGAGTTATGATTATATGTGGATCTGGCTTAGGCGGAATTGCAGAAATATTACATTCAGATCGTAAAGTGGAAGTAACCTATGACAAAATCCCAGGATTTAGAACATCAACTGTACCAGGGCATGCAGGTAAGCTCATTTTTGGTTTAATTGGATCTAATAAAGTTCCAGTAATGTGCATGGTTGGGCGCTTGCATTTTTATGAAGGTTATTCTTTTCAAGAAACAACGTTTCCTGTTCGTTTGGCAAAGCAATTAGACGTCGAGACTCTTATTGTAACTAATGCTGCAGGCGGGATTAGAACTGGATTCAAGCCTGGTGACTTGATGATTATTAACGATCATATCAACTTCCCTGGTTTGGCTGGTTTTCACCCATTAAGAGGACCCAACTTAGAGGAGTTTGGACCAAGATTTCAACCTTTATCCGACGCTTATGATTTTGAATTAAGGAAGTTATTCTTTACTAAGGCTAAGAAAGAATTGGGAATATCTCGTAATATTTTTGAGGGTACTTATTTGTTTGCTGCTGGTCCAACCTTCGAGACTAGAGCCGAAGTTAGGATGATTAGAAGCTTAGGTGGTGATGCTGTAGGTATGTCTACAGTTCCAGAAGTTATTATCGCTCGTCATTCTGGCTTGAGAGTTTTGGCATTGTCTTTAATTACTAATTCTGGCCTTGGCGAAGAGCCACCTAGTGCGTTCGACGAAAACCCAAAGAAGTTGGACGAAGGAATGGCTAGTCATGATGAAGTTTTAGAGTCTGCTAATGAAGCTTCGAAAGACGTTCAAAAGATTTTTGAAGCTACTATTAATGATTTGTAGTTCAACTTTGCATAAACCGCGATGTATAGATCGATCTTATAAAGTAATATATATTAATTTAAAGTACAGTCTAGCTACATAACAGAAAAGAGTATTATCATCTTAGTTATGTATAGAAATAGAAATGGATAACAATTCAAGCATCTACTCGACCTCACCAGCCGACTCCCATTTACCTTGGAGGTTTTCTTTCCATAAGCTTACCTTGTTATCGCCTCCAGAAACAGCCAATATGTTACCTGATAATGACCAAGAGCACCTCCAGCATACGTCTGGGAACATTTCTTCGGTCAATAATTGCTTTTGCCATTTTCCATTCTTATCTTGAGACCAAATTAAAACAGTACGATCTTGAGATGCAGTAGCAATATATGAACGAATCAAGATTGAAGGAGACCAGCTGACATCACGAACCCAGTCAGTGTGTCCTTCCAAAACAGCCTCTTCAATATATGCATTTTTACTGGTATCGAACTTCCAGATCTTGGCCAAGTTATCAGAACCACAGGTCACAAATCTACGTATGGAGTTGGTATCCTTACCTTTTGTATTATTATTAGATAATGGTGCCCACGATGCTGAATTCACTCCTATAGCATGTGCATCAAAGATTATATGTGAAGTAGTACCATCATCGTTGAAATCGACAACGGAAACTTTTCCGTCGGAAGAAGTACATAATAAAATGGCTCCCAATTCGTGAGGTGCCCAGCTGACCGAATTTACACTGGCCTGGTGAACTGTATGCTCAGCAATAATAGACCATTGTTGCGTTTCTGGCTGTTCCTTCCAAATCAACGCTTTCCCGTCATATGAACAGGAGGCCAAAATAGATCCAAACTTAGGGTGTGCCCAAGCAACTTGCCAAACTGGCCCTTCATGGCCAATCAATGTTTCAACTAACTTGTAGTTTTCTGTTCCTTCAACTTCAAAAAGTTTAATTGTTTTATCTGAGGAGCATGTAGCTAATCTTTTCCCATAATAATCTAACACAGCATCGTGTATTAAATCATCATGTGCATTACCGATTGTAACCATTTTGTTATTTAACCAATTATTTTTCTTCTAACACAATTTATCCACTCAGGGAACAATGTATAATTACTTTGGTATAAAGATATAGAGATAATGCCTATTTATCAATTGATTGATACAAAGACGTGTTAAGAAACCTCAGTATTGTAAATCTTGTTGATTGATTTGGAATTTCGAGGTTTTCGTTACCCGGCTCGAAATAGAGATATCAAAAGATTACTATCTGTTTAACCACCATAGCCAAACAGAATTCAAGGGCCAGTTGAGGAGTTACTTATAAGAGATGGAAAGGCAAGATGAAACTATAAAGACAATTACTGATCTTATTCACTCTGTTAGTTCTCAAATTAACAATTCGTCGAATCACATAGAGACGCTAGAAGGTTTGACTAATAAACTAGTACCTAATGAAATTCGAGAGGTGGGTGTTCAAGATAAACGGCAAACAAAGCGGGAGTTATCAGTAGAAGAAGAGGAAGAGTATATAATACGGATATTAGAACAACAGAGGCTAGAACGGGTAATAGATTTGCAAAATCACGAGCATATGAATGAGAAGCTAATGGAACTAATTGATCTGAACGAGGATATCTTGCAAAGTGTCAAAGAATACCTTGAAATCAAGGAAAAGACAAGAGAAGATGAAAGAAAGTTTGCGGACTCAAGAATCAAGCATTTTACTGATGATATGGTTGAACCAACTATAGAGGTTCTAGAATCTAATTTGCTTAACTTGAATAATGGCATAGAACAAGTGGAGCATACGCTAAGTGGATTTGTAGAAGATTTACAAAATAGTGATCAGAAGATGTCACCGGAGTACCAGGAAAAGGTTAATGCATTAATTCAAGTTATAAACAAGGCCTCTAATATATAATTAAGATTGTTTTTTCTCGATTGGGTCTTTTGAAAGTGGAGTCTTGGTGGGATCCTTACCTATGATAGAATAGATTTTGTTAATATACTTTTTATTTGGGTCCAATTTTTTCCATGTTTGTCCAATTCTATCAAAATTCATTTTGTTCCTATCAAGGTTGAAGGCTTGAAAAATATACGATAAAAGCTCATAAATGAAAATGATCACGATTCTTAGAATACTATCTCTCTTGGACAGAGATTTTTCAGTATAGAATTCAGTCGGATTTTTACCAGTTAATTCAGAAATAATTGCATTCTTTTCATTTACATCAACGAAAGTTTGATTGAATCGGTTCAGATAGATCAAATTATCAATTATATTGGATAATTTATCCATGCTTTGTGTACTTAGTTTACTATCAAATAAGTTGGAATATTCCTCGAATTCATTTATTCTTTTACCAACTATTCGAGTCTCATAAACTAATCTATCAATTGTCGCTGATAAATCATCGAGATTAAAATTTAGACTGTTGACTAAATCACCTTCCAAAAGTCTGTTCTTATTGTTAATTACTTGGTTATGCATATGATTAAATGTAATGATTTCATGATTTAATTTATTATATAAATTTTCAATTTTCTTTGTAGTTATTAAATCTGTGGATGAATCATTGTTATTCTTCTCAATATTTTCAATTTTTACTAGATCACTCACATTGGTTAAATAGTTAGATGATACTTTATCAATTGAAAGAATTGGCTTCTCAGATTTGGAACAGAAGTAATCATCTAATAATGAACCACTTAGGCTTCGCTTCAACTGATATCTATTACTCCCAAACTCAGAATCATGTCGTAAAAATTCAAGGATGTTAAGATTAAGCTCACCTTGTTGTACCACGAATGGATACGAATTTCTCCGATTTAAAACTTTGTTAAAACTCGATATATATTGTTTATCGGATTTTGAGTGTGTACTTGATTCTTCGCTTCTACCTTCTTGCTCAGGACATATATCATCAGGACTGAGTAATGAATCTAGCATCGAGTTTGAATTACCACGATAATTACTGTTACTGTTACTGTTATCATCAGTTACTTGCAATGTTAAGTTATGCTTTTTAGGAGTGTTATTTGACACAAGAAGTTTTCGGTTTTGTAAGCCAAGCTTCATTTTGCTGAAGCCTAAAGAATATTTCGAAGCGTCTGGAACAGATGTAGATCCATTTGAATAATATGGTAATGTTTGAGTTTGGCTTATTGCATCCTTTAGACTCATAAACCTATAAGACTTCAAATCATGATTCGAATTTGATCTGTGATGGCGATGATGATGACTATGATGATGTCCTAGCTGGGAAGGTTGAATAGTATTCGACTGTTCGGAAGGAGGAGCTTGGTTAGTACCAAACCATAATCTGGTCAAAATCTTACCGTAAAGATAATTTTTTACCAAGATTTCTAAGTCCAAAGTCTCAACATCCAAAGGACTCACATTGTCAGCTAGCTTGGCAATTCTATTTCTAATTCTACCACTAGATTTTGGAATATTCTGAAATGTATCATCGTTATCTTTATTAGGTGCAATGATATGATCCTGAACAGTATTTTTGACAACGTTAGTGAATTTTCTAAATTCTTTACTATAATAATTCTTGTTCTTTTTATAAGGAGACGTTAAATTAGAGTTCAAATTCGAGGGGTTCATTAAATTTTCAGGCTGAACTTCATCATTATGATCGTAGTTGAAATTAGATTTCTCAGGTATTATCTTTGCGTTAGTGATGGTAAATAATTTGTTCAATGTTTGTAAATCTAATTTCCTCAGTTTATCCAACTTAAATTGCCGTTGAAATTGACCTATTGAAAGCATAAAGTTTTCAAAGTCAAATGGATCTTTGGGTACATCACAACCTCCGATCATTTGAAGTCTTATTTTGACACTCAAGACCAAACTAATTACCGCAGCTACTGTCCTTGCCGGTAATATTCCATTCCTGATATTAGGTTTAAAACTATAATGAGGTAGACCAATTAGATTCCACCATTCACTTATACTTTCTTCCGTTTTATTGCAAAGTAATCCATCGCAGTATTTGGCGTCAAGAAGATCAAAATAGAACAAACATATCTGTATTAAATTAACTAGCTCCTTTATAGCAAATTTTATGGGCACGTTAAGATTATAAATCTTATAAACATGCCTGAATTTGTCTTCGTTTGCACCAGATATTTTATCTGTAAATAACGATAACGACCTCCCACTACAATGTAACTTTTTCAAATTTGAATTCACAATAAAATCGTTCTCCATCAATCTTATATCTCCAGTGGGTATAGTGATCAAGTTGAGATTTGATGGTAATGATGCTGAATTTGTCACAAATAGTAACTCTTTGGGAGCCATCTGTATTTCGTTATCCATTTTTTTGATTTTGGCATGATTAAGCATGAGTTCATTCAAATATTCCTGGAATCGAAGTGGATAATTCTTCACTGGTTTCTTCAATACCGTAAACTTAACAACTGCCACCTTCGACTCCATGTTACCAGTATACGTTGATATTATAGTACCGATCTTCCTATTAAGCACCCATTGTTCTACCAAGTAGACATCAAAGCCAGATGAAACATTTTCCTCAACCAAATGGAATTCATTTGTATTAATGAAGTCCCGTTGAAAATACTTGATAGCATTGAAATCTGGAAAGATATAAGTTATCAATTCATCAGGATTAATGACCTCTGTATCATCTACCGAAGACATGTAGCTAATAAAATACAACTATCTAAGTCATTGTAAGACGCAGTGAATTAATCTTCAAATGCGCACCAGGTTGCAGTAGCATTCCGGTGAGACTTTATACCCAGTATCATAACAGAACACCTATCTAACCATTCTAGACCATTTAAATTATCATAATGAGCCTTTAAATTCATTCTTGACACTTTTCTACTCTATACCAACATAGTTATATATAACACCTACATAAACAAATTATAGTATTCAGCAATCAGTATCCTTCAAAAAAACA